TGTGTGTGTGTGTGTGTGTGTGGCCAGCTCAGCCCACCAGGGGGCAGGGCTGGCTGGCATGTGGTGCTGGGGGATTGAACCGTGGTCCCTGTGCTTTGCTGAGCTTGTTCTAAGTAGGTGCTTTAGAACACTGAGCCATCTCACCAGCCCCCATCTACTGCGTTTTCTCTAAAAATAATTTTGTTATCATACACCAGAGGAAGCAACAAATATAAAAAAATAGGTCTGGCCAGATGGCTCAGTGGACTAAAAGCACCTGCTTAGGCAGCAGGCAGCACATGACGGCCAGGGGGTTCAATCCCAGCCCCCAGGGCACACAGAGATGGTGATTCAGACTGGGCATAGTGGCCTGTAATCCCAGCCCCTAAGAGGCTGAAAACAGGACAATCACTATGAGACTGATCTGGATAATGAGACCCTGTACTAAATACATTAAAAAGTACATATATATATACATATATATATACACACACCACACACGCACACACACGTTTTTATATAAAAACATTATAAGAACCTTATGACCAGAACATAAGATTACATAGGTATAGAGAACAAAGAACTTTTCACTGAGTGAGCAGGGAAGAATTCTACAAGGGAGCTGAGCTGAACCTCTGCAGAAAAGCAAGTGCATTTTTTGGCAAAATTAACTCCAGGGAACAAAGCTAAAGGGCAACAGAAACAAAAAGAAAAACATTCTTGAAAGGGCAAAATATCAGTCTAGTTGAAGCAGAAAAAGTATGTAAGAATTTGTAGCTGGGTGTGGTGCTACAGGGCTATAATCCCAGACTGAGGCTGAAGCATGAGGATCACTGAGTTTGAGGCCAGCCTAGGATACAGTGAGTTTGAGGCCTGAGTCAAACATCAGCGATCTTGTTGAAATAAAACTCCCAATTTACAGCTCCAAAGTAGAATTAAACTATTTCTGCATATTTATTATTTTTGTAAGATTACACCCAAGTACAATAATGTAAGTTTATGTTATTGACTAACGAAAAAAAGCCTAGGACAGTACAAATATAATTAAACACTAAAACTCAACACAAATAAATGCATTTTCTCTCTTAACAGCTGGATTTGTGGTTCACACCCGTAATCCCAGCATTCAGAAGGCTGAGGCAGGAGAATCACCATGAGTTGAAAACCAGACTGGATATATAGTAAATGCAAGGCCAACCTGGACTACAAAGCAAGAGCCTATCTCAAAAAAAAAAAAAAAAAGTCCACTTACATCAGACTTGGGAAGAAGACCCTGATCCTTCATCATTACTGAAATTTCATGCCAGGTGCTCAATTACAAGAAAGAAAAAGAACCAATAAATCTTTTCTCTGAGATGAAGTAGGGATACTTGAGCAAGAAAGAATTAAGGCTCCACTTTGAGATAAATCCCCCTTGCATCGCCAAGACTTTTATTTTTTAAAAAATGCCACAGGAACACTTTTTTTTTTTAATTTATTTGGTACAGGGTATCACTACACAGATTAGACTCATAATAATCCTGTCTCAGCCTCCCCAGCGCTGAGATTACAGGTGTGTGCCACCATGCTGTTTCAGTGGCTGGTGCCATGAAGTATGGCATGCAGTACTAAGTACCAAACTCAGGACCCTGTGCTTTCCAGGAAGGCAATTACACCACCAAACTCCCCCCAGCCCTAGAGCTTTCTTTTTAATATATCTTTTACATTAATTTTTTTGTTGTTGTTGTTTGGTTTTTTTTGCGGTAGCAAGGACTGAACTCAGGACCCTGAGCTTGCCAGGCAATAACTTATTCTACTGAGCCATCTCCACGGCCCTTAAATGTCATTTCTGAAGTCCAAGTTAAAATCTGGGCAAATGTTTTCAACTAAACCACCACTATCCTAAAGCTAATGACAATTTAAAACTCCTATACAAACCATTCAAAGCTAATTTCCAGGGCTGGCAAGATGGCTCAGTAGACTAAGAGCCTGCTTAGGCAAGCACAGGGACCAGGGTTCGATTCCAGACACCACATGCTGCACTGGCCCTGCCCCGGGCACAATGAGCCAGTGATCGAGTTTGCCTGTAATCCCAGAACTAGGGAAGCTAAAAATAAGAGGATCACTATGAGGCTGAGATGCACAGTGAGGCCCTGTACCAAATACATTTAAAAAAAAAAAAAGAAACAAATTTCCCCTTAGAGAACAAAATCCCACCCACCTATCAAAAGGACCAGCAACATCTAGGCATGATACCTGACAGCGCCATAACTGAGTACAGCTGTTTCAGCAGACAGGACAGGCTACTCTATGCCCTCTTCGCCTATTCTACCACAGTAGCAGTTACCTGCTCCCCAACCCTCAAAAAAAAACCTCTGAGAAGTCAGAGCAGCTCCCAATCCTTGGTCCTCAAATCACCTAAAGTTGTGCTGTGCGGATGTTATCCTCCTCCCTCCCCGCTTCCACCAAAAAAGCATTCCAAGTGAACTATGTAATCCCAGCCCTCTGGGAGGTTGAGACAAGAGAATCACAAGTTTCAGCCCAGTTTGGGCAATTTAGCTAGACCCTGTCTCAAAACAGAAACTAAAAAATAGGGGGCTGGGGACACAGTTCAAGGTGAAGGCTCTGGATTCAATTCCGAGTACAACAAAAACAGAGGGAGGGGAAAGGGGGAGAGAGGGAGATAGGGGGAGAGAGGGGGAGAAGGGCGAGGGGAATAGAGAGAGAGAGAGAGAGACTGACTATTAAAAGTGAGAGGAAAGGGACAGAGGCTACAGCTTAACATCAGAGCACTGGGCTTGCGTGGGAAGTGCTTGGTCTGATTTAAAAAAAAAAAAAAAAAAGGAAATAGGAGAAAGAAGGAACAAAAGAGAGTGGAGAAGTATCAAGAGTCAAAATAAATCCTCTATACTAACTTCCCTCCCTAAAATTTAAACTGAAATTCATTCTAGCCCAAAACTCTCATTAATAACAAAGGCCCAGAGCAGTTAACTTATTTGCCCTGGGTGACTGTTTCACTGTAAGGGTATTAATTGTTACTAGTCATGCTTAATCACTAACTCCTTCAGTTACTTAAATGTTTATGAGATTATGTACACAATCTTCACCTCTTCTACACCTCTTCAGCATTTTGCCTCAGAGGTACATAAAAGAACGCAGGATGAAACGCAAATACATACTATTTCTGCTTTTAGCCCATACTATTACAAAATTATTATTTCTTTATCTGTGAAAACCTGAAGGTACCTTCATTTCTCAAGCTGACTAAACGGTTGGAGCAGCAAAAACCTCAGTTTTGAGTAGAACAAGCATATATTACGTTGTATATATTAGTGCTCTACCTGCTGCCTATTCCTTCATATTAATATTTCATTCTAGGTTTGCTGAAAAGCATATGTGTAATTATCAAACATGCCCAGTTAGCCCTTAATTACCATCCCTTTTTCGACATTTCAATTAAACAATTTAGCATGTCTCTATCTTGAGATACATAAAAGTATCCTACTCAAGAACTTTTTTTTTTAACGAAAGCATCTAAATCTTCTCTTATCAGCTCACTAAAACTACAAAGTAAGCAAAATTTCCTAGCACCTAAAAGTGCCATTAATATCCCAGGGCTTACAGCTGATGATCAAAGAATTCAATGAAGAACCCAGGAGGGAAAGTTTCTTCGGAAATTGTGTCTTTGTGGACGCATCAGACTACACCACCACTCCCACAAAGTGCAGGAAAAATCCAAACACGACACATGTGCAGGTCTTAACCACGCTTAACAGCCATTCGAACTCAACCTGTCCCTGCTGCAAAGGCCGAGGAGGAAAATTGTGCCTGCGTATTTTAAACCATTTTAAACATCACGTGATCAAACGAAGTGAATTAGACAGTTTTGGATGTTAAGGCCGCCGTACAAAGAGGTCTGAAAGGGTTCACTGCCTTTCTAAAACGCCGGGCAAGTCCCTCCGCGACTTCGCAAAACTGATTACTACTACTGCGTAAGTTTAAAAAACACTAACTATAAACTATGACGCCGTGAAACCGTTCACGTTACCACTGACCAAAACACCTTTTTTAAAAGACACTGAAAAGAGAATTTTAAAAAGCGCCTCACCGCAAACACAGCACGAGAGGGACTGTCGGAAGTAAGGCAAGAGCCTGTTAATCTCTGTAAATGCCTTGGGGTCTCCGGGGTCGTAGTTGAGCACTAGGCGGCTCGCGGAAATGTAGAGAGCAGTAGCATTCACGGGGTTCATTGCAGACACTTCTAAACCAATGGCTCCCGGTCGAAAAAAAAATCCGGATCCAACTTTGTAAGCAGCCAGGGAACAATGGCGAATGTGCAGCAATTCGGAGGAAATCAGAGCAAAACCACTGGCCAAGAAAGTAATCAAAATCCGTGCAAGTTTGTGGAGCTGAAGCAATCCTCCCACACATGGGGCCGTGGCGCCCCTCCTCCGTCCCTGAGAATTCCAGACGCAGAGAGCGAGTGCGCGAGCGACACCAGCGTTCGAGTCCTGCGGGCGGCGCTCAGTCTATCCCCGCGGCGCGGCGCGCGGCCTTCGCCCGAGCAGCATCTCGCGCCACCGAGGCGCCTCCTCAGGTCGAGCTGGCGGGCACCGAGCTTCTCCTGGGCTGCGCGGCCTCTTACTCCATCGCAGCGCCTGGCGAGGAGGCAGCGACGGCAGCGAGGACGAAGGCACGGGCGTCGACTTCCCGGATCTAGTGCAGGAAGCCGCGGCGGCGGCGCTGGAGGTTACAGCTGCAGCAGGCGGGCGCTGCCGCCGCTTTCGCCATGTCGGACGCGGGGCTCAGACGGCGCCCAAGCTCTCCGCCCCGCGGCTGCGGTGGCTGCTCCCTCGAGAGGCGAGGCCGGCAGTTGGCCCCCGCCCGAGGGGAGGGAGAGGGGGGAGGGCCGGGAGGAAGTGCGCGGGCAGCCACGAGCGGGAGGGGGCGGGGAGCAGGCCGGCGGGCCGCGGCGGCGCCCCTCGCTCTTCAGTCGCACACTCTGGGGTCACCAGCGGAAGCGCCGCCCCCTCACTGCCCGGCCATCTTGTCGGCGCTGCACATACAGAAGACTCCTCCGCCACGCACGCCGGCCGCCGAGGTCTGCAGCGCCCGCCCGTCCGGCCGCGGCTGAGGCGAGCGCTCACGCTGCCAGGCCCCGCCGCCGCCCAGCGCACACGGCAAGGCCCAGCTGCAGGCCCCTCCCCCGCGCCTCGCCGCCCTCACCCCGACTCCACGCGCCACTCTAGTTCGCTAGGGCCCGGGCTGCAACGGCCGTAATGGATCCCGCGGGTTGTACGGCGCCTCAGGCCTGGCCGACGACGACGACCGTTACCCCAACGGGCAAAGCCACTGTCATCCCCGAGACTCCCCCGCCGCCGTCGTCGCTAGCGCTCGCACGCATGCGCAGAGCGTGCTCTCACCCCTTCCCCCCGCCCTTCCTTTTCCCTTCGCTTCCCTTTTCCCCGGCTTCTCGAGAACCCCCCCACACCCTCCCAAAGCGACCGGCTTGCTAGGCGCATGCGCAACCCCCACCCGATTTCCACCGCCTTTCGCCCTTAACGCGTGCGCTTTGACCGCCCACCCAGAAAACCGGATAAACACATTAGCCCGCTCACTCCAGCCCCTCCCCGGGGCCAGCCCGCCCTGGGCTCACTGCGCATGCCTAGCTTTCCCCTTGCGGCTCCCTGGACGGAGCGTGCGCTCTGCGATCCGCCAGCTGTCTCCACCCCTCCCCCATGTGCTCTCACATTCCCTCTGCTAGGCGTGTGGGCTGTGGTGAACTATTCGTTAGCTGGCACATCCCTTTCCTACGTAGGTTGTACGCTTCCCACGATATATTGCCTCGGTGCGCGGCACCGCTGACGCCCGCTAGGGTCGTGCCATGTGGCGCCCCGCGCTGGCCCCCACACGGCCTCGCGCCGTCCTGGCGGACCGCTCTGTGAGGAAACTGCTCCGCGTGGCCCAAACCCCGCCCTCGCGGCCTCTCTCCCGGGCGGCGCGTGCGACCACCGACTGGGCGCGGCCGGGGCTGCTCGCGCCCAGCGTGCGGCGTTGACGTGGCACGCGGGTTACGTGTGCGCGTCCGGGCTGCGGCCCGCTCTCCCAGGGGGTTCCGGCTGCAGTCCGTAAGCCGGGAATTTTGCCCCCGCTGCTTCCCTGCGCCTAGAGCCTCGAGTCCCGGCGTCCGACGGACCGGCCAGGCCCGGGCGGACCCCCAGGACCGCTCTGGACCCGTAGGAGAGCTGCTGGGTTTTACAGACAAAACAGCTCCTTTTCGACCTCCGTGGCGAGACCTAGCGCTTCTGAGTGAACGCGTCTCTTGAATGGAGTTTTTTGCTCTAGAATGAAACCAAACCCTTAAGTGTTGGGTATTTGTTAAAACAAGCCTTAGCCTTTTTGCAGGAGACCCTAAAGGACTCAGGACTATAAATAAAAGCCTAAATAGATGATTCTTCCCTCTCCCCCCCCCTTTTTTTTTCCAATAGAAACACCTCGTCGGAACCATTTCTTGGTTTTGGGCACATGGAGGCTCTTCATAATTATTTGCACATAGTAAATGCACTTTACAAAGGAAAAATGAATAAGCTGTAGAGGAAAAACCATACGATCTCCAAAAAGTAATGTGTGTTGCGAGACTTTTTTTCTTTTCATTTTTTCATGAGGCCTAGCGTATTAAGCAGCACTTAAATGTTAAGCAATCAGAAATGAGCTTACTAACTTTGTATAGCAGCACTGCAGAATAAGTGAAACTGGAAAAATGGTTTTTTGGTGGTACTATATTTGGAAAACGGCAACTATTCTAAATTAACGCTTTTTTTAAAATCTGCCTTTTTGGGGGGAAAGGGATAAAAGATATTTCCTAAGTTCATCTTCAAATACAAGCACTATACAGATCTATTATTCCAGACGAAAGACTTCTCTCACAAAGTACTAGAAGTTGTTCTCCTTCAGAGGAGCAGCACGGAGGGTAAAATAATGAGCACTGTTTTCCATCCAGACAGCATAAATTAGCAGGCACTCTAGACATGTGATTACTTGCGGGGAATTAGCCTATTGATTTTCTCATAACTGCATTTTTTAATCTTTCGAGATGTGCACGTCCGAAATCAAGATTGATTCTACTATGGTTGGTTTTTCCGAGTTGAACCAGTTTTTCTTTAGCCTCAAAATTGGTTGCAACTGGTAGTAGATTATGGTATTTAAAAGCAAAGTATCTTCAAGTATGCGCCCTTCTAGTAATTATTAGCTTGTTTAAGCCTTCCCTAAAAAGAAAATAAGTAAATTATTTATAGAAAATAACATGTTTAGGGCCGGCCAAATAGCTCAGCAGATTAAAGCACCTGCAAGCAGGCGCAGAGGCCGGGGATTCGATTCCCTGGCCTGCCCTGGTGGCCCCGACCCTGGGGTGCACTGAGGCAGCAATTGAGACTGGGTGTGGTGGCACGTACCTGTAATCCCAGCTCTTGGGAGGCTGTAAACAGGCAGATCACTACGAGTCAGATCTAGCAGTGAGACCCACAAGGCCCTATAGACCCTTCTCTAAAATACAAAAAAAAAAAAAAAAGACATTATGTATATATGCCAACTTCCCATGGTGAATGTAATCATGTACTGAATACATGTGCTAATAAAAGATTTAAATATTTTAATGAACTATTTTGGAACAGTCTGAAATTTACAGTATTAGTGAAGAGAGTTCTTATATACCCAATTTACCCTATTAACAAATTTTTGTCAGGCCAGCAAAATAGCTCAGCAGACTAAGCGCCTGCTTAGGCAAGCTCAGGGACCAAGTTTAGATCCCAGGCATCACATGCTGCACTGGCCCCGCCCCTGGGCGCTGGGCACGCTGATCAGGCGACCAAGACCCATTGTGATGGCACACACCTGTAGTCCCTGCGCTGCAAAGGCTGAAAACAGGAAGATCAATAGTCCGAGCTGCATAGTGAGACCCTGTACCAAATACATAAAAATACATGTATTTAACTATTTGTAACAATGAACGAATCAATAGGAATATATTATTAGCTAAAGCCATACTTAATTCATTTTTTCTTAATGTCCTCCTCCTGTTTCGTAATGCCATACAAGATACCACATTACATTGTCTTAACATCTAGGCTTCTCTTGGCACCCAGGTACACTTTCATGTCAAAACACCAGGGACATTTGTACATGTCTATAATCCCAGCACTTGAAAAGACTGAAGTGGAAGACTCGTGTAAGAGGTCAGCCTGTGTTACATAGAAAGACTCTATCTTAAAAAAATAAGATAAAAATAAAAAATTGCCAATATAGCCAGGTAATGTAGTACACATGATCTCAACTACTCAAGAGGCTAAGGTAGGAAAATCACAATTTTGAAGCCATCCTGCACAACTAAGTAAGCCACTATCACAAAGTAAAAAGGACTAGGAATGTAGCTTAGTGTGAGGCCCTAGGTTTAATTCCCAGCATTTCAGGAAAAAATAATAATTGTTGCTGTAGTTATTTATATGTTCTAATTGTTTCTATTTTTAAAAAGAACCAATCTAAATTTCCTACCTGAAAACAGCTATTTCCTACCTGAAAACAGCTATTTCACTATGTATATGTACATTATAGTACATATACATAGTGAAATAGATGTAGCTATTGCTACAATCTAAAGAGGTTGTAAAGTATATTGATAGATACTTATAATACCTTACTTTTTAAAAGTCTTAATTAACAAAAACATTTTGAACACCTGAATAGCTATGCATTGGAAAGTCTGTAAAGATATAAACCAAAGAGCCAGGGAGAAAGCTCAGTAGAATAAGTGCCTTCCTGGCAAGTGCAGGTTCCTGAGTTCAATCCCCGGTACCACAAATAATAATAATAATAATTATTATTATACATAAACCAAAATATTAATATTTTTCTGCATAGCGGGATTATGGAAAATATTTTTTCATTGTCTGCATATCCATTTTCAAGTAAAGCTTTCCTATTCTGTTCTCTAAGATTGCTAGATATTTACCTCTTTCATTATACTTTCTACATTAAATGACAGTCGCTGGACTAGGCCTAACTGCTTTCTGTTAAAACTGTTAGAAAGAAAGTCAGAGTTTTCTCACTTTTATTTATATTGCCTTTTATTCTCATTCCTTAGTTTATGGCCTGACATATCATGGGATTTAACAATTGTTAAAATAAGGCTTTCTACAAATATGACATCAGCGAAGGCAGCAGAGCAATGCACAATGCATACCATGTATAAGCAGATGTGTGTTTTATTTCTAGGGGAGAGGCATAAACTGTCTTACAATTTCTTTTTTCTTTGTCTTCTTGAGAAAGGGTCTCCCTATGCAGCTCAGGCTATCCTTGAGCTCACTTCACAGCCCAGGCTGGTCTCTTAACTCCCAATGATCCTCCAGGCTGAGCCTCCCAGGTGATAGGATCACAGGTATGCCCCACCACACCTTACTTAAGTGTCTTACAAATTTATAGACAGTACTTACATCAGTTTGATCAATGTGAATTCTAAGGTCCTTAATAAAACCTAAAATGTGGATTGATTTGTAACAGCCAACAAATATTTATTGATTGAATACTAGCATTTCAGTGAAACTTGAGGTAAATGTAGAATGCTTTCAAAGAGCAAAGGCCAGGTTAGCGGTAAGTAAGAGGGACTTTTTAAGGGGTTAGGCCCTTTACAAAATTATGAAATAGTTTGCCTTTTTCCTTTCTACTCCTCCTTCTTTTTGTCTTTTCTTTCCTCCACCAAAACCATCTAGAGGCGATGTTCTCGCTCTTTCCCAGTTCTCTTTTTACTGCCTTAGTACCCTATTATACCCATCCCAACCAAAACACTTTATTTTTCATTACTGGAGAATAAGCCCTCTGCCATTGTACTACATCTGAACCTCTTTTTATCTGTTTTGGGTCAGGCTGTTGCTTAATTGCACAGGATCCTCCTGCCTTAGCCTCCTAAGTAGCTGGAATTCTAGGCATGTGCCACCACAGCTGGCTCCAAATAAATTTTGACAAATGCTTAATGTACCACTATTGTGGAAAGCAATCAATCTAATTAAACTAAATCTTGAACAAGTAATAACTGTTTAAACTAAACTTCAAAAGATTCTTCAATGGCCAGAATTATAGGGAGTAATAAACCAGATAAAGTAAAATCAAAATGTAATCCAAGAGAAAAAATTAATAATAATCCAGACCTGTACTTACTTTATTTCCTAACCTTTCTTTCTTTTTTTTTTCTGTACCAGGACTCAAA